TACCAACAGACCAAAGTCTGATGATATGCCTCCATAGCTGCTCCAGCACAGAGCGGGATCAGTTGGTCTTTGGAACCCATTCCATTTTGAAATTGGGTTGACCTTTGTCATCTGTGCAAGGAACTCTCTCCCATGACATATCCTGCTTATCACAAACAGAAGATGTAGAAATATTAGAATCATTAAAGATTTGGGAGATTGAACCTTTGGTACCCATCTGTAGTTGGGTTTAACCCATTTCTTTTTCGAGCGGATGGGTGCCTCGGCACTTGCTTTTGAGCTTGATGTCGGCCGTTGAGATGACTTTGACCTAGTCGGTCTTGGCTTTGTTGGAGCATTTCTTGAAATTGGCTTCTTGGTCGGCATTCCCTTCTTGTTCATGGGAGTTGGATTCTTGGCCTTGTGGGTTTGATTCTTAGCCTTCTGCGCGTTCCATTCACCATTGTGCGATTGTGACCTCGAATGATTTCTTTTGAAGAATCTCTCACTTTGTGCGTTCTGCCAGCCTTGTGCGTAGTAGGGAATGTATGCGCGATTTGGACAGTTTCGGGCAATGTGTCCAGGTGTTCCACAGTGAAAACATGTCTTTTTCTTCACTGGGAATTTATTTCTTCCTGCCCCTGGTGGCGTGTCCTTGCCTTGTCTTTTATTGTTCCCATAAGCACACTTGCAACAAGCACTCTGTTTCACTGGAATTGGTGGCCTGTATTTCTCAACAGCAGGTTTGTTAGGAGTGACTGAGTTAGAAGCAACAGGTTCAGAGTTCAAGGAGACATTGGTTTGTTCAACAGTATTCTCCTTGTTCTCATCGTCTGCTACTTTACCTGCACAAGAAGTAGAAATATTAGAATTCTTCACCTCAACACCCTCAGTTGGCCCTGAGTGTTCAGTCTTAACTGAAACTGGAGCAGGGGTTTGGCCAAACTGAGTAGGAATTTCTTCCTCATTTGTCTCAAGGGGTGGGTTATAGTTGTCATTGAAGGGAGGTGGTACACTGTGATACCCTAACCCCTTAGTTTGATTATCTTTTAATGTTAATTGTTTTTCTATCATGGACACAACTACCTCACTTGACACATCAAATTTTTTAAAGTTGAATTCAGCATCTTTATATTTTGCTTTTAATGCATCAAGTTCGGCAGTCACAGCATCAAAACCTTTCTTGAGATATGTATAATGAACACATTTGTCACTGTACTCTGACTGTAATTTCTTAAAGTCATTAGTCTTGGCCTCTAGTTGTTCTTTCAACGGTTTCCAGCCTTTCCTAAGTTGGTACCCTTTATATTTAAGTTCCTCATTTTCTCTTTTTAATAAATCGATGTGTTCACGTAAATTTTTAACAGTTTTAATGCAAGTTTGAGAGCATGAAACTTCATTTACCGGAATTTTTGAGGAACTCATTTGTTTTAAAAATATGCCTTTTGACTTAAAACCTTGAAAGTCAACCTTAAAAGTCAAATTTAAAAAGTCAAACTTAAAAGTCAAACTTAAAAAGTCAAACTTAAAAGTCAAACCGAAAAGTTAAATTTGAAAATTTGAAAGTTAAACGAGAAAGTCAAAGTTTAAAGTCAAATGTCAAACTTGAAAAGACAAAGTCAAAATTTTAGGTCAAAGGTCAATTTAGAAATTCAAAAATTAAAAGCTAAAATTTTTGGAAGAAAATGGAATTTAAAAATAAAAGGAAATTGATTTTTGGGTTAAAAGTGTTAAATTTACGAAATTAGGAACCGAAGTGGAGTCCTTTTGAATTAAATTTCGAAGTTATGAAGTGTGTGGCTTGGTAGTTCAACTGGTAAGGCGCTGAGTTGAAGAGGTAGGAGACCCAGGTTCGATCCCCGGCACTCCCAATTTTTTTTTAATAAGAAGCTGATGCGAAGACTCCTGCTGGCCGAAATTGTGATGCGAGGACGAGGATCAACCGCAAACGAGGCTAAGCCGTGAACTCCGAAGGCCGTGAACTCCGAGGGCCGTGAACTCCTGAGCCGTAAACCCACCTGACCGTAAACTCGTGAGACCTCGGACCGTAAACCCTCAGACCGCAAATCGTTTCCGGCCGCAAACGCTTCGGAAACCCTAGCTGCTGACCGTACACGCCACCACCCCCTCGCTGGTTACAACCAAAACATCGTTTTTTCGACTTTGTGGCTCCAAAACTCGATTAAAAACTCGTTTTTATCAAAAACACGAAGAACACCCCCCCCCCCCCCCCCTATTTTGCCAAGATCTATACAAAAACGAAAAAATCCTTCAAAAATAAGGTCAAATATGTTCCAGATCTGGCAAAAATGATTGATCCAATCCAAGCTCTGATACCAATTGTAAGTCCTCAATCTGTTTGTGTATCAATCAGATCCGTTTGATGGTGCGGAATCCCAATCAAACGGGTGATGCTAGATCTAATAGAGAAGAAGAAGAAGAACAATATGAATCTTGTGTGATTTGATTAAAATGGAATGATGCTCCTTACACAGGATTCACTTTCTCTCTCTAAAACACTTTAGAATACACACACTTAAGCTCCTCTAGCCTTACACTCCTCACCCACCTAACATCTATATATATGACACATGGGCCGTGAACCAGTTCACGGCCGTAAACACCCTTTGGGCCGTAAACACAACTGCAAAAACATATTACATTATAGAAAAATACATTTTTCTAGAAAAGTAAAGTATAAACCAATATTTTTGACCCAACAAAAAATAACTTATAAGCTAGATGCAACATATCAAACATAGTCTTTATTATATATCGGTTAATGCCTTTTTTTTTTAACAACTTAAAGATTTTATAAACAACTAGTAAGGAGCTAGAAAAACAATTATATATAGATATCCATCAAAGAGTTGTGTAACCACAGACCATTGAATCAAAATGTTCTTATTTCTAGAGGTAAACCACTCAAACGAATTGAGGACAATCCTTTCCATAATGACATTTGTAGGAAAATTCGAACTTGGAAACACGACGTTGTTTCTATACCACCACAACATCCAAATAGTTGAAATAATGATTACCTCCAACGCCTTTCTTTTGTTCCTAGAGAACGGAACCGTATCAACCCAAGACATAAACTCAACTATATTGATCGGAGGAGGGAACGTCGGATCCACCCGTCTAGCAGTCGCACTCCACACTTGGACCGTAATCTCACAGAAAACAAAAACATGATTACCATCCTCCAACGCATTCTCACATAAAGGGAAAAATGAGAGACGGGATATCAATACCATGATTACTCAAATTGGTTCTAGTTGGAATGTCATTCAAAAGAACCTGTCACATCAAAACAATAAGCTTAATGAGGACTTACTTATTCCAACGTGTAGTTGCCGTGGTCGCATGTAAACTTAAGTCATCAATCAATTGTGTAGTATTGTTAACCAAGAAGGCACCATCAAGGGCCAAATCTGAATCCAACTCTGATCCCACAACCACCTCTGGAAGCCTATCAACCAAACTGCCATCTGAAGCGCCTCCACTCCACCTTGAACCTCGGGTTTCCACTAATATTTTTTGTGTTCTATTTTGTGATTTCTTATGTCCCAAGTATATATCATCATATTCATAACAAGTGTTATCAGATTCATCTTTCCAAAACCTTTTACCCTGATCGATTTTTCTCAAAAGGGTTCTTTAATAAATTCCTTCCATGGTTTCCATGTAGTATGATCTTCCACTTTTAGACCACGACACCATATTTTCCCTATTGCAAGTAAAGATTATAAATCTACTGACTTAATCTGATTATAATGATGCATTAGATGCTTTTGAAAGCAAGAGATAAATTGATTGTTCTCGAGGAAATGTATATTTTGAATCATCCATAATCCATAAGGTTTCATTGTTGATTGAACTATTTTGGGTTTTGGGGTCATTGTCCTTTCAGTTGTTCCATGTGTTGCGGATCTTGCTTCAAATGATCCACGATGTGTACTTTTAGAGGCCTTCAGTTTCGGAGTGTTAGGATCTCGAGATCCTATCACTAACTCATTGAAGAAAATAAATTTGAAGATTCGTTCGGCTTGTTCAAGCAAATGATATCGTAAGGTAATTTGATGCATATGGCGTTGTAAGAGTTTTTTTTTTTCCCTATTTTATATCATAAGGAATTTGGGCCGCTAGGCAATTTTTAGTCAAATTATGTTTAGGTCCCACGGCATTTGATTTGAAGTTTTTACTTCTTTAATGTTTCATCTTTAATTCGGATAGAATCTTATTTCGGTAAGGTGGCAGTTTATTTTGGGAATATGTTATATGCTATGGTATCAAGACCATATTTGCATGAGTTTGACATTGTTACATTTTTTTATGCATTTATTTTAAAAGTATTTTTTAGCTAATTGCAAAGAATTTGAGTTTGAAGGTTCTTATATGATGGCATTTGGGTGATTTGGTCGATCACCATGTTTTTTTCGTCGTTCAAGAGACATTAGTTCATTGTGGTTTTTTGGTGCTAAGGTTTTTTTTATTATTATTTATGAAGATTTGAAGTTTTTAGTGCTGAAGATGGAATTCATGTCAAGATAGATTTTGTTGCGAGACAAACTCCCCTTTTTCTTTTTCCACAAAGGTTTCCACCATATTTTGCATTATATTTTATCATTTCTTCATTTCTTGTGTCCAAGTATCATCATATCATATTAAATTATTAATAATAAGACGTTCTCTGACAAACTTTTAATATACTATTTTGTATTTTCTTTTTCGGATTTCAACACTGCTTTCGCAGGCTTTTAATCATACTTTTTAGCTCCATGCCTTATCATGTTGTATACTATCAAGAAACACCGCTCTTTAATCTTTATGCATAAAGTACAAATTGGGGCCTACCAATTATGAGAAAAGAATCCAATTTTGCAACAGAGAACACAGAGTGCCAAATGAAGTGAATAAAGCACCAATGCCTTTGATATATGTGCAACTTTATAACAGCTCTTTCATTCAAGATTTGTATTCACGAACTCATAAATTTATAAATATATAAGTAAAACTCACCACAAGATTTAATGCAAGGTAGAATAAAATCATGGACTGATTATTGGATGCTTAACATGCTAATCTACATGGTACATGTAATATCTTAGAGAAAACCTTGAAAAAAAAAGAACAAGAAAAAGAAGGAAAGAAAACCATTTATACCAATTTACATATTTCGTATGATGCAGGATAATCCATGTATACCTTTTGCTAACATTTCTTTGCGTTTTTGAGGTTTCTTAGAGTCATTACAAGCTGTTGCCTTTCACCCTCTACCTCTGCAAACTTTAGACTTATTTCTGAATATCTTTCTTGCATTTCCTTCAATTCTACTTCCATCAACTTGTTTCTGTTTGATAATGTCTCAAAAAATTCTTGATTTCCAGTCTTGTTAATCTTGGATTTAATGGCATCATCACTACATCAATGAGATAAAAGATCAGTTTCTAAGGTTCAATTTAAATTTCCATACTATAGTTAATGGATTTTTGGTTCAACATATGTACCTTATTATGTCTTGATCAAGAACCTCTAATCGTCTTTCCAACTCTTGGATTTTTTGTTGAAGATCTTTCTCTTTCTCTAGAAAAGAAGCTTCAGAAAGCTGTAATGCAGTTTCTTTAAGCTTTATTTGACCCTGATGATCATATAAAGGTTCTAAGATTAGTAGCTCATCCTAGTCTAGATACGCTACAAAAGATAATAAAGGGGTATAAAAATTTACCTCAAATAGTTTGATTTTGTCCTTCATATTATTGGTAATCTCTTTTGGGCCACGAGAAGCAGGAACAGGTTTATTGTTTCTAGGGGTTGTTTTGGTATTACTATTACAATCCTTGAGCTTTTTCTCAATGCTGCTGATTGTTTCATCTTTCTTCTTGAGATCATTATTTAGTTGAGATACCTTCTTCATCAAATTTCCTTTCTCCAATTCATACTCTTTAACAAACTGTTTCATTTCATTACATCGAGATTTTAAACGTTCAATCTCAGATTGTAGCCTTTCAACTTCATTCTCCTTATCTTTCTTAACATTTCTCACCTCACTCAACTCCTTTCTTAAGCTCTCCACTTCCATTTTTACCATATGAACCTCATCTTCAAGATTCTTTCTTTCATCTTGAAGATTCCCAAACTGTACTTCCATATCTTTTAATTGTTTTGACTTTAGGTTTATTTGGTTTGAAAGATCAACCAATTTGTCTTCATATTGGTCACGAACATACTGCAACTCTTCTTGGACTTCCTTCAGCATCTCTTCAAGGTGTCTTTTTTCTACCTGGAGTTGATAAGCTTCATCCATGGCTTTCATGGCTGCATTCTCGTTTTCTTTAAAAGCCGAAGCCATCTCTGTTGATAGCCTTCTAAATTCCTCCTGAAGTTTCCCTGCTGTATTAGCATTCTGCAGTTTCACCTTTCTTAAATTTTCCTCTGACCGAATCGCCCTCTGCTCCTGTTCGACTTTTGCACGCACAAGATCTTCCATATCCGCCTCAAACCCAAGAGCTTGATTCTCCAAATCTTCCTCAAGATTCTTCACATGGGTTTCAAGTTCTTTGATTGTAAGAATCGATTTCAACAATTCTTTGGATTTCATTTTGAGCTCATTGTCTAAATTATCTATCTGGGATTCGAGTTCGTTTACAGAGGCGTAAGGAGATGAACATTCGTATTGCATCTTTAACTGTTCTTGAAGTTGACTTTGTTCCAGTTTGCAAGACATGTCATGGTTTTCTTGCTTCAAGATCTCATAATCGAGTGCAATCTGTTCCATTTGTGTTTCAAGCTCTTCTTTATCTCTCTTGTATAACTCTATTTCATTATAAAGATCGATTATCTTTTGTTCCTGTAAATATGCATCTTTTAAGCCACTATGTTCTCTAACAATCTCTTCTAAAGCCTTTTGATCTTCATCATCATCTGTCTTGGATTTAGAGTTGACTTCTTGTGACTTTGGAGCAATGGAAGATTTCTGTTCTAGCATCTCGTCTAGGTCCCGAACAGCAAGAATCAACTCTGCATTTGATTCTTGAGTTTTCTGAAGTTGTAATCGAAGATTGGAATTCAAATCCTTTTCATAATTCAATTCTTGTTTAAGCTCATCAACAAGAACCCATGGATCCCCTCCTGAATTACCATTGACTTTGACTTCTGTGGGTTTCTGATACGCCTTCATCTTTCCACACTCCTCCTTAAGGAAAACTACTTCCCGTGAAAGATCTTGACTCTTTTTGCTTTCTTTCACAATTTGCTTACGAAGGGTTTGTAGTTCCATCTCTGACATATCAGCTTGCCTAGCAAAAACTGCAACTTCTTCTTGGAGCTTTTTTATTATGGCATCTGGAGAATCTTCATCAGATATTTCTCTTGGACTTATTACAGAAGAATCATCGGTACTTAATTCATGAGGTGAAGCCTCTAACCAATCCCATTGTGATGATGATTTTCGATGCTGTTCTTCATAGATTGTTGATGTTGAGGATTCACAAGCCGATTTGTTATTAGTGTTTTTAGGTTCAGGGTCTCGTGGGGTGTCAAGTCCAGAGCTGCTATCCGAACATGACAGAGTGATATCAGATCCAATGGATGCCCTGCAATCTCTGTTAATGTTATCACTCATAGCCCCATGATCCTGATTAAAGATGAAATTCCATATTAAAAGATGTTTATGAACATAAAATCCATCATTAAAGATGAAACAGAGCTCACTTCAATAGGATCAACTCGGATGCTTTCTTCTATATCAACATTCGTGCTTTCACTAACATCAACATCCCTGTAAATTTTACAGCTACATGTTCAGCATTTTGATAAGTGAAAAAGATTCAACAAAGCAAAACATCAAGAAATGCATGTATACCTTTGATCTTGCACCCTTTGAATTGATATCTAATCAAAACAACATCTACAACCATTAAGCTTGAAAGAAATAATCCACTAAAAGATTTTGAGAAATTGAGATGAAGAAGGGGACTAACATGCAATAGACTTGTGGATTTTGTATTTTTGAGAGGAAGAGATAGAGAAGAAAGCTTTGTAGCCTCAGCATAACTTGCAAAATCAATTGAAACTTCTCCAACAACACCAAAAACCGAAGAACCCTACAAAATGTGAAAATCCCAACAAAAATCAGAAGTAATTTTCAATCAAGTTTCTTGATTTAGAAGCATAGAAACTATTTAGTACCGTTGCTACAACAAAACGATAGATTTTGTCATTGAATTTTCCAGTTTTTTGATCTTGAGTGAACTTCACAGTTTCATAATGTGGCTTTTCCCAGTAACAACTTCCATCTCTAACTTTTGCTTTATCTAATCTTGTTGTTGGCTTTCCAACATCATTGGGAATCACAGCTATCATCAAAGCATCTGCTCCAACCTGTGTTAGCTGAATACAGAAATAATAATTCTTGTAAGGATATTGAAAGGTAACAAATTAATATATGAATCTTTTTAAACACTTAGCTGCCTAGAAAATGTAATAAAACAAGAATCATTGTGAATCTTATTGTTTACAGTTACCCAATTGATCTTTATATCAGAAAACTACCAATAGTTGGGTTATTCATATATTTGTTAACTTTATTAAAGCATGTTGGAACATAATCACAGTTTTGTAAATTCCATTAGCTATGAACAATATCTCCTGACTTTCACAAGTGAAACAAAACCCTGAGATATGGAACAAAGTTTCCAGTGCCCAGGCTTCACAAGAACAGAATTCATAGACGCCATAGTTGACCCTAAGAAAAGTAGGAGGTGAGCACCAATACAATCTCCCTTCTTTCGTTTGATTTCTTTGGAAATATAAGATGAAAAAATAGCTGAAATGTTCCAGTTTTATTAATTTCTTAATAATATAACTTCATATTTTCAAGGAGAATGCCTGATAAAAGTTAAGTTCCAAAGTTCATCTCTTTCAGGTAATTTAGCAAACACGTTATGTGCACTTGTGCAAACAGTCTTTTACATATACACGCACACACACATATGTGTAAGTGCGCATGAAGATACATAACCTGAGTTGCATGAAACTGCAATTTAAATACAGCTTTGATTTTGTTCTTGTCGCTCCTCCATCTCGCCGACTTGAACATTTTCTCTCCCTGTATCTCCTTCTCTCTCTATGTAAATATGATGCTCAAATTCCACATTTGCAAGTAAAATACTTCATGGTTCCCCTGGGCTAAGACAATAATTTTCTGCAACCTCATCTGAGCTCCGACAAAGCTACCGGAAAACCATCAAATCCTTTTGTTACAGCACACCAATCTTGAAAATAACACAACCCCAACAGGAATCGACTCAAGATCAATTCTTCTGCACCTTATATAGCAAATACCCAATTTAATTCATAAAATGGGAAGCTCAAAACACGTATCAACACAAAGAGATTATAATAAAAACCGACTTGACACAATAGTGACAATGCAAGTCCAACCCAGTGAAGATATGAGGATATTTTCGGGTCAGAGAGGTTTTCACATTGAAGAACTCGTGAATGTATTTAAGAATGAGCTTGAAAGCTCACACGCAAACACAGCAGATCTAAAAAAAAAGTCTTTTCTCTCTCTCTCCCTCTCTCTCTCTCTCCCTCTCTCTTTCTCTCTCTCTCATTCTCTCTGAATAAACAAATCCAAGAATTTGTGCAACTACAGTTTGTTGGAAAATAAAGAACTTATTAAATGCCGTGGCTACATCATAAATTAATAAATAAAGAAGGGTTTGGTGACAAATTACATAAAAGGGAAAAAGGAACCTTCTCTAAGATTTTTATAGTAAAAGATTCTTTTCTTTCGTTCAAGAAAATAAATTACTTCTTAGAATTTCCTGAAAACAAATGAAAGAGATAAATAATGTTAAAGGGGTCGAACTAACTGAAAATGAAAACAAATTTATATAATTATAAATATTATTATGGCTTTGTCTAAAAGAGTTAAATAACAACCATGATTAACATATTAATATAAAAAAGACAAAAGAATACTAATAAGTCACTAATTGACTCATGTTAAAAAACAAAAACAGGTTATTAGCTTTAACTTTTAAGAGTAAATTAGAGCATTTTATATTGCTTTTTTACTTTACCATATCATATTTCCAATAATTTTATTAAACTATTAATAAATTATTTTCAATCATTGATTTTTTTTTAAGTTATAAATTACCAACTATCAACCATTTATATGAAATATTTTAATAAACTTCTTCGTGTAATTTATTAATTTTAAATATATGTAATATTCATAGAATTAGAAAGTATTGGAAAATGATTATTTGTGATTGTCAAAAAAAAATGTGAGTTTTGTCCAAAAATATTTGGTGGTAAATTAGTTGATCCATTTTTGGAATTTTTTTTTTGGGTTAATGACTTAGGAGGGTAACATGGTTTTAACTTTGCCCACGTTAGGTTCTTAAGGTTTTTTTTTACATATTACACCAATATGGTTGTATATAACCGTTTAAAAAATATAATAAGGTTTTAATTTTGTCCACGTTAGGTCTCTAAGGTTTTTTTTTGTACATATTACACCAACATGGTTGTTATAACCGTTTAAAAAGGGTAATAAGGTTTTAATTTTGTCCACATTAGGTCCCTATTTTTAATATTTTTATCATTTCATCTAACTCTTTTTCAATTTATATTAGTATCTAATTAGATGACTTCATCATTTCATCTTCTCATTTTAATCGTCCATCTATGTTTGGTGCGACATAGCTAGCTAATAAGCTAGTTTATTTTTCGATTTTTTTTAAGTTATCATGTTTGGCAAACTAAAAAGTAGCTTATAAGCTAGTGTTTTAAAAAACTACTTAGACTACTTTTTTAAAGTTTTTTTTTAATTTCCAAATATACCCCTTAATTAATTAAGAAAATATTTTTTTTAAAATATGTTTTCTTAATTAATTAAGTGGTATATTTGGAAATTTAAAAAAAAAACTTTTTAAGAAACTAGTCTAAGTAGCTTTTTAAAACGTTAGGTTATAAGCTACTTTTTAGCTTGCCAAACATGACAACTTAAAAAATATCGAAAAATAAATTAGCTTATCAGCTAACTGTGGCGCACCAAACATAGCCTTAATCATTAAGACTTTGATTATTATTAGTTTTTTTTTTTGTAAAAATGACAAAAAATTGCTATATAACCTTTTAATTGAAATCGTGGTTGTGGTAAATGGACGACTAAAAATAAGAAGATGAAATGATGAAGTCATCTAACTAGATACTAATATAAATTGTGAAAGAGTTAGATGAAATAATAAAAATATTAAAAATAGGGACCTAATGTCGACAAAATTAAAACCTTATTATCCCTTTTTAAACGGTTATAACAACCATGTTTGTGTAATATGTACAAAAAAAGACCTTAGGGACCAAATGTGGACAAAATTAAAACTTTATTGCCTTTTTTAAACGGTTATATACAACCATATTGTTATAATATGTACAAAAAAAAAAAAAAAAAAAAAAAAAAAAAAAAAAACCTTAAGGACCTAATGTGGATAAATTTAAAACCTTATTACCCTCCTAGGTCATTAACCATTTTTTTAGTGAATTTGGTCCTCTATACATTTAAAATTACTTTTATGTCCTTATAATTTTTTTTCTAAGTTTTTTAACTTAAAACAAAAAATAAAAATAAAAAATAGATAACCCATCCCCTCTTCCATATTTATCAGAGAAACCCCTTCATTACCGGCTCCACCCTCCATCATCGGCGCAGCCTTTTGTCCGGAACAACTGTCGACAACCACAAATCTCGCCATAAACCACCGCCAACGTTGCTATCTGATATGGCACCCTCTTCTATCTCTCATCCAATTCGCCACCACCACCTCTGCCATACATTTTTGGTCTCCCATAACCGCCATTCTCATTAGAAATCAACGGTGGCCAAAAATCTCAGTTGAAACCACCACCAACATCGCCATCTGATCTATCACTGACACATTCATTCATCTTTCAAAGATGTTTCGACAATGGTTTTTGGATCGACAATGTTCCGGCGAAAAAGGGCCTTATCGTGGTCACCCGGAGCTAGGGTTTGCAACCCATAAACCACAGAACCGCCAGACAAGTTAGAGTTCCCCCAGACCATCATCGCCACCACCAAACTCGGCTTCAGTCCACCATTCTCGAGTACCCATTCAACCCAAGTCGTAGGTTCCAATTTAGGGAAATCGATCTACCCTTCATTAACATTTGTGTTGGTATATGGTGGAGATGATGATGAAACATGAAGATGGTCGGTTAGAAACTTGTTGCGTGAAAGTGGGAAGATGATGTACATTTGTGTTGTCGGTTGGTGAGGTAGTGAAGCAAGGCTGATGATGGTGGTGTAAAGGTGGGTTTTATGGTTAGGGTGGGGTAGGGATGACGATGAATCAAGAAGGGAGTGGGGTTGGAAATCTTTTTGTTTTTTCAATTAAAAAAAATATGAAAATAAGTAAAAAGACATTAAAAAATTATTTAGGGGCATATTCGTCATTTGAGGTTGGGTATTGATCAAAACCATAAAAAATGCCAACCATATGGACCAAAACCACACAATATATCCAAAAATTAGACCATTGATGCACCACCAAAAAAAAATACCATAACCACATATTTTTGACAACAACGGGGACCATTTTCATAATTTTATCTATAATATATCAAATTAAAACAAGATAAAAATGCATGAATGGTCCTTGTTGAAACACCCGATCCCAGGTATGAAATTCTCATCTTTTAAACTTTGAGTCTTTGGGTGGCCATGATGTGGTGAAAGGATCAGCACGACGTAGCAGTGTTGCATGAAACGCATGTTTCTCATGGCCGCCACGACGTGGACATTCAATGGTCGCGACGTTGTGAAAGAAGCAATGTAAACCCTAAATTTTATGGGTTTTGTGCACTATTTAAAGGAAGTGATGGTTAGGGTTCCTTCCACCCTCAGGTTTCTCATCTTTTAAACTTTAAGTTTTTAGGTAGACACGAAGTGGTGAAAAGATCAGCACGGTGTGGCAGCGTTGCATGAAATGCATGTTTCTCATGGCCGCCACGACGTGGACATTCAGTGGTCGCGATGTGGTGAAGGAAGCAATGTAAACCCTAAATTTTTTGGATTTTGTGCACTATTTAAAGGAAGTGATGGCTAGGGTTCCTTCCACCCTCAGCCACCATCACCTCCAAAGCATCCTAGACCAACCCTAGCCTCCCTTTGAAGTTCTCGACTCATTTTTGGTAGTTTTGTGACCTTGGAAGGAAGAAGAATGAACTCTTGTGCATATATACAGCAAGCAACTTGTCTCTACTCCTTGTGTACCTCTTCTGGACCCATTGTAAGTCCTCAGGTTTCCACCTTTTTTATTCCTTTTTCATAAATCTAGGTTTTATAGCAAGTTTTGGTTCACTTTTGAGATTGGATTGGTTGGATGAGATAAAGTTTGCAACTTTATGGCTCACTTGGTCCCTTGGTAACTATATCTTCTAGATCTAGAATATAAATGAGTTTTGAGAGCCATGCATGAGTATTAGGTCATTTTTCTCAATCTTTTGACCTAGTTGGGTGAAGGACCTGCATGAGTCATGCATGTCCATAAGTTTGGTTCTTTATGGACCATTAGGGTCCCAAGAAGCTTACTAGAAAGTAAGAACAATGGTCTTAACGGATTAAGAATTAAATCCATTAAGTTGCCCAAGTGCAACAGCCACGGTGTGGCAAGATAGGTGCCACGACGTGGCAATAGAGGACTCCGCGACTATTTTGTCTAGACGTTGCCACGACGTGGTGGCATGCCTTCTACGACGTGGTAGCAGATTTATATCGCAACTGATTTAGATAGCCACAACATGACCATGGGTTGCCCACGACGTGGAAGTCACATGGAGTTGACTTTGATCGTTGACCGTTGACTTTTGACATGGTTGAATTTTATCCAAATTGCTAGTTTTAGAAGGCAGACAAAGGGTTTACCTTGTATAATTCAGTAAGTGGTGTAGCCCCCACTTCTCAACTGTATGAGCTTGTTAGTTGTCGACAACGTTTGTGAGGTTAGTCTTCTCACTATACTATATAGCTTGCTAGACTGTCTTTGTGACGTTAGCATGAAAGGCCATCGAAGGACCATGGCACTTGTATGAAAGACCACGGGCGGACCATGGAAGCCGTACGGAAGACTATGGGAGAACCATAACAACAAAGACTGTAGGAGAACTGCAACATTGAGTGACTGTAAGACTGTGGGAGGACCACAACATTCACATGTTATGTATGTTATGTATGTCATGTGGTATTTAGGGGAAATCACTAAGCTTTGTGCTTACACTTTTATGTTTAAATGTTTCGGGTACTTTTGGTTACAAAGGGAAGGGTCCGACTTGATTGCATCACATCCACTGGAGATTCCGCATATATGATTTTGTTATTACTCTGATGTTATTTTGAAACACTTTTCGTGTAACATCCGGATTTCCAGGCATGACAATTTGAGTATTTCTTTTTGAGTTATGAGGAGGGACTCGACGAGTTGAGGCGTAGACTCGTCGATTAGGATCGCGTATGCTGACTGGATTAATGAACGGACTCGACGAGTCGGAAAGGATGGACTCGA